CCGGGGCATTCCCTCTCGAAGAATCGTTGATGAGGCCGATGGGAGAGCGGACAGCGTAGGCAGCTATTTCAATATTATTTTTAAAAATTTAGTCTGCTATGTTGCCTTGGTTATTCAAGAATCCATGTTGATTCTAAAGGTCTATTCTGGTTGGAACTCCGGTGGCCTGCTCGCTCAAGCCAAGTGGCCTAGGTGGACTTCCCTAACAGCATTTTTGCGGCCCCACCAGCAGTGCTACTTTGGAAACAGCGAAAACAATAGTATTGCTCTCACCGCACAGGGAACTGAGAAATCAAAAATCTGTCTTTTTCAAGGGTCTTTTTAAAATTCCGGTCTCGGAAGCGTCTGGGAGTCGTGGGAACTAGAAATCCTGTGTACGCTCGTCCCCTCCCCATTCCACGAAAAAAATAAGCAAACTGTGATGAACAGCCCTCTCACCAGCGATTACCCCAATTTTGCTTTCATTTTTGTTTTCTGTTGTCATTTTTGTTTTCCTGCTGAAAGCGAAGCATTGGCACCTTTTCGGACGAAAATGGTCACGTCGTCGCGGAGACCCACTCTCGGCGGCCCGGCCGGCCCTAGGTCGGCCGCCCCCACTCGGTGGCCTCCGCCAGGGAGTGTGCCGCGAGTGTCTAAACACACAGGTGTCTTTTTCTCCCCATATGTGTGCCCGTGTGTATGTGTGCGTGTGTGTGTGCGCGTGTGTCGGTCCGACCGTCTTCGCCGGCTGCCCGCGTGACTTTCTTGTTGCCCGCGGTGCCGGTCTTCACCGTTACCACGCGACCGGCGGCGGGGCGCGCACACACACACACACACACAGTTACTCACACACTCACACGCACACACACACTCACACGCGCGCCATGCACTCCCTGCTGTCATCCGAGACCTCCCCGCGGCCAAACTACGTTTTCTTTGCGCGCACTGCGCAGACTATGATTCCGAGAGTCGTTTTCCGTCGCTCTGTCTCTCTCGCACACTCGTCGGGCGTGCGTAAGGGTGCGAGGGGGACAGAGCGACGGACGTAAACGACTCTCGGAACCAGTGTTACTGATCGCGCGCGCTGCTCAGAAGCCAGGCAGATTCCTCTACGTGATTCGGAATAACAATAAAACGAAACGAGATTTGGAAGAAACAAAACTGTGGAGTCACGACGCGACGCGGCGCTACGCGGCCACCCACTGCATCACGACGGGCAGCGCCAAAGCAGCCAGCGGGTGCAGAAAAGTTGCGCCGGTTTCTGTGAAAACTTTCTACCATAGCGAGCACGGCGCACAGTGGGCCAGAAGACCGGCGCCGGCGGCCAAAACTCTCGACGCTGTTTGAGCTCCTGAGTCTCGAAATGCGGCTCGCACCGTACGTGTGACCCCACCAATGGATTGCTTTCCGAACTACGAATCCATTGGTGGGGTCACACGTTCGGTTCGGGTCCTGTTTAGCGACTCTGGAGCTCAAAACGCGTCGAGAGTTTCGGCCGCCGGCCGGTCTTCTGGCCCACTGTGCGACGGTGCCGCGGCGGGGCTGGCGGGGCGGGCCGCGCGGGCTGGGCTCACTTTTCGGCCGTAGATCCGTCCGTCCGCGGCTCCGCGGCTCCGCGGCCGATTGCCATGGGAAGGAGAGGAGGAGGAGGAAGATGGGCCGCCAGTCTTGCTTCGTCGGCACCGTCGTGGCGGCATTGCAAGAAAACAGCGCTTTGAATAATCAGATAACGTCACAGGCATCATTGTGGCACGGAGAACAAAAAAGGAAGGGGACGCTGCCGCGCCGCAGACTCATTCCGAGAGTCGTTTTCGTCGCTCTCTCTCTCTCGCACCTATACAGAAGGGCCCACGAGTGCGAGAGAGACAGAGCGACTCTCCGGAATCAGTCTGCCGCGACGAGGCGGGCCAACAGAGAATGCGGCGCCACCGGCAAACCAGGCAGAGAATCGAGAAGACGCGACCCTGCCGCCAATAACGCCAATCCCCCAAAAACTGGCGTCAAATTTTGACAGAGCAGGTCGCCGCGGCGAGCTCAATTTCTCTTCGGAAATCACAACGATCAAGTAAGATGAAATCTCAGTGGGGCAGAAAATCTCGTGAACCAATCTCGCCGCAGAGTTGTTCAGACCTTAGTTAATCGAAAAAGTACCTGAAAAATTTCCACGATGCCGTGTTGCCCGCGTGCAATTTGTTGTTATCTCCGGCACAAGATCTCACAATTTTGTATTAATGCACAAAAATCAGATAGCCGCAATTAAAGGGACCCTCATTGTTTGCGAGTGAATAATGTGCATGCGTGAGAGTGTGTCCACTGGACCGGAGCGCTCTGGGGCGGCCGGCCAGGGCAGTGCACTGATTCCGAGAGTCGTTTTCGTCGCGCTGTCTCTCTCGCACTCGAGGGCGCCCCGTGTCGGTGCGAGAGAGACAGAGACGCGGAGTGTTGCAGCAGTGCCCCAGCCGGGAACGGAGGCGGGCACGACCAGTGGGCACCCATCAGTGGGCCGCACGGAAGCAATGCGTTTACAGTGCATCGGCTTACAGTGTTGGAAGTTTGAGGCGGCCGAAGCGAGGCGGGCCGGGCTGGACGGACGCCAAAGCGTCGCCGCGCTTCGCTTCGAGTGCCGCCGTCCGTATTTGGCGGACAGGACAGACCCCGTTGTGCAGTGGAGGCAGCGGCGGTAGTGAAATGTGGTGTTGTTGTCGTTACTCGAGGGGCGTTGCAGTGGCGGTGGCTGCGGGCAAGTAGGCTGGAATCCGCGTCGTCCGGGAAGAGGAGGGGGCACGTCATGCACTGCATGCAGCACTGGATGACCGCGCCGCCCCATGTGCCATGCGGCTGCAGTGCAGACTGATTCCGAGAGTCGTTTTCGCCGCTCTGTCTCTCTCGCACCTATACAGGACGCCCCGTGAGTGCGAGAGAGACAGAGCGACGGAAACGACTCGCGGAATCAGTGTGCTAGCCGGCCGGTCCAACGCCTGACGGGCCCGGGGTAGGCAACCCTTGGCTCCGCCGCGCTGCGGAGCTCTGCGGGATGCCTGTCGACGTTCCCCGGGCGCTTTGCGTGGCTTTACGCGCAGAGTCGAGGTGAGAGGGCAGAAGGGCGCCCTGGCGTTGTTTTGATTGTGCTGCTGCTTGGAAAGCTCGGAAAGCTGTTAAAGTGTCGGCAATTCAATATTGGTGACTTTGGGCAGCCACTGCGTCAAATTTAGTTGCGGTCATAGGCCTTCCTCGACGCCTTACTATTCTGAAGACCCTACTCTTTTATGCCCCGCCTCGGGAAGGCTTTGACCGCTGATAGTTTGCGAGCAGTGGTCTCGCAAAAATGGCCAAAAAGTGAATGAATTTCAGAAAATCGCCGTTTTTGCTGACTTTGAGCGGTCACTGCATCCAATTTAGTTGCGGTCAAAGGCCTCCCTCAACGCCTTACTATTCTGAAGACCCTCCTCTGTTATGCCCCGCCTCGGGAAGGCTTTGACCGCTGATAGTTTGGGAGCAGTGGTCTCGCAAAAATGGTCAAAAGTGATTGAATCCCCGAAAGTATGATTGTCATTTCATTGGATGATGTTGATTATTTCACTGATTACCAACTAGACGTGCAATGATTATCTTGAGTTGGGTACCCCTTGTTTCGACCGCCTTCTGGCCCACTGTGCTGTCGGCGAATGTGTGGATGTGTGAGTGCGCGGCGGCAGGCGGCGGCAGGCGGCAGCCGTTTTCCCCTCCCAATAAAATTAAAGCCGCGATGTCACGGTCCGTTCTGACGCACAATCGCCACGCGGTGGAGCGCAGCAAGCGGGCCGCGTCGCCCGGCCAAATTTCTCTGCAGCAAGTCATCCAGGACGTCATCCCGGAAGTGCTCCCGCCCAACCCCCTGCAGTGGCGCGGCGCGTAGCTACGCGGGGCGCCACGGCGCGCGGCGGCGTGCGGCCTGCTGCCTGCTTTCCCGGCGCCCCATAAGGACAAGGGGCGTGCGGGCGTGGACACTGCCATGTCACAAAAGGCCACGAGCGGCCGCGGCAGTGGCGGCAGTGCAGGCAGGTCAGTAGTCCGCACGTTCGCGAAGATGGCGCCGCGTCCCGCGTCCCGCCTCGGACTGCGGCGTGGTGTGGCGGTGTGCCGCCGTGCCGCGGCCGTGCGTGCTGCGCGTCACGGGCCGTTCGGGCGGCGCGGTGCGCGGTGCGCGGAGCACGCCCTGGAGGCCTGCAGGGCCGCGGCGAGCGCGGCGAGGCCCATGGCCTGTCGACCGTGGTGCCCGAGCCTCATGGCGGTGCCGCGGTGCCATGCCGCACGCCGCCACACCGCAACGCAGCCATCCCCGTCGCTTCCGCCGTCGAGCCGCCCTCGGCGCTGCGGAGCGAGAGAGACGACGGATGGCCACTGCGAGTTGTGAACGCAGCCATCCATGGGCCGCCATGGGCCGCCATGGGCCGCGCCACGGGCCGGCGGTGCGCGGTAGGCGGCGGGGCGGAACGGAACGCGTGGAGCGGCGGGGCGGGGGACGGGGCGCGGCGGTCACATCCGCTGGCCAGACGAGCCTCCCCAGCCGTGTGATACCGGACATTTTGCGAACGCCTCCACCCTCAGCCCAAGACACGACAACTTCCCCAGCGCCACAAGGAAGTGGGTTGCGGACCTCTGCTGAGCGTCCGAAGAGAGACCGCCCTGCCCTCCGAAGTCCCAGAGCCGCTCGTGCTTGAGATAAGCTCTTCAGAGCCGGGCGCGCTGATCCACGATCCACTGCCAGTAATGGCCTATTCAATGATTCCGCCTCTCATTCCCCGTTCCCGAATCGGGGCCCCGGAGTCCTGGGCTGACGCCCGCCGCGCCCAGCCTGCTTCCTCCGCGGGGCGCGCAACAGGTGACCGGCCTGCGCTAGCCTGCGCCGGCTCGCTCCCTCGCTCGACTCTCCACTGCATCCACAGTTCGCAGTGCATCGGGTCTCTAACTTCCGACTCTCCTCCTGTTGCAGGCTCTCCCTTCATGAGGCGTGTGTGCGGCCACCCGGCCCTCAGTGAGACATGGTGATCGTAACCAGGGTACGTTCGAATTCCTAGCCTAGTAATTTGTTTCCGTTTCCGGAAAGTGGTCATGCAAACCCTACAAAAATAGACAAATTTGGCAACCTATCTTTCATTGTTTAACTTCGATTAATTGTATTTTTTGTCATGTTTTTATTTGATAATTGAACTAAAATATGATCGCCCTTCTTTTGCCATATGAGGGCAAAGCTGTATAAATATTGACAATATTGTCATCATTTTTTTATCGCGTGTAGTTGGCTACACTGTTAGCAGACGACGGTAGTGCAAATTCAACAAACAAACAGAAGGACAAGATTTGTTGTACTTTGTTTTGTACCGTCGTTACGATTGGTTACAATGAACTTTAAGAACAACTAGGTGCAGAGAAATGTTACAATTACCATGACAGTTTCAAGTTTAAGTCTGAATACATAAAAAGCCTGTCTTCTGTGCATGATGAGGTATCTCACCTCTCCTACCTCACCTTGTCAATTTATATGGTAGTTGAGAGTGCATTTCTCGTCATTCCAGGGGGACTACATCTGGATTGAGCCAGTCTCAGGCCACGAGTTCGATGTGGCCATTGGGGCGCGAGTCATCTCTGCTGAGGGCCGTCGCATCCAAGTCAAAGATGATGACGGCAAGGTAGCTAACATTTCGTACCCTTCCAACTTGTCGATTGAGTGCGAACTGCTGTTTTATGTTCTTTTAAATTCGCAGGAACAATGGCTCACGCCAGAGAGGCGCATCAAGGCGATGCATGCCACCTCGGTGCAAGGGGTGGAAGACATGATATCCCTTGGCGATCTGCATGAAGCTGGAATCTTAAGAAATCTCCTCATACGTTATAATGAAAATCTCATCTATGTAAGTCTGTCATTTTAATTACTGTAATATTAAGAGCGTCTTTTTATTATGATCTGTATTGTTTTGTTTCTAGACATACACTGGATCTATTTTGGTGGCAGTCAACCCGTACCAAATTCTACCAATTTACACTGCAGAGCAGATTAAGCTTTACAAAGATCGTAAAATTGGAGAGCTTCCACCTCATATTTTTGCCATTGGTGACAACAGCTACACTCACATGAAAAGATATGGACAAGATCAATGTATCGTCATCAGGTACGTTCATTTTGATGGTGAAGTATGATATTTTGTGTGTTGTAGCACATTTTATTATATGGCATGTTTCTCCTTTACAGTGGTGAAAGTGGTGCAGGCAAAACAGAAAGCACAAAACTAATTCTCCAATATTTGGCTGCTATTAGTGGAAAACACTCTTGGATTGAGCAACAAATATTAGAAGCTAATCCAATCCTGGAAGGTAATAATGAGGATCTCAATTTAATTAGAAATTATAGGCATTGGCAACTCTAAAGATGTGACTCATTTGTGTGGTTTTCTCCTCTGCAGCCTTTGGAAATGCAAAAACTATTAGAAATGATAATTCATCAAGGTTTGGAAAATACATTGACATTCATTTCAACCAGCATGGAGTCATTGAGGGGGCAAAAATAGAACAGTATCTATTAGAAAAATCAAGAATTGTCTCTCAGTCACAAGATGAGAGGAATTATCATATATTTTACTGCCTCCTAGCTGGTCTTAGTAAAGAAGAAAAACAAAGGCTTGAACTGGGTGATGCCTCACAGTACCGATACTTGACAGGGGTAAGCTAAATATCGATCAAGCGCTTGTATTAAATTATAATATTTTGACATAACAATGACTCTTATTGATGTAGGGAGGATCAATCACCTGTGAGGGCAGGGATGATGCTGCAGAGTTTGCAGACATAAGGTCTGCCATGAAAGTGCTACTTTTCTCTGACCAAGAGATTTGGGAAATTCTTAAACTACTTGCTGCCCTCCTGCACATAGGAAATATTAAATATAAGGCCTCTGTTATTGGTAGGTTCAAGCAAATACATGCTCTCCAGCTATCAATTGATGCTTTACAAGTACTGACACTAGCTTCTACATTATCTTTTCTTTTCATTGCAGATAATCTTGATGCTACAGAGATCCCAGATTTAACAATTGTTCAGAGAGTAGCCAGTTTACTCGGTGTGCCAAAACAGCCTTTGATTGATGCCCTCACTAGAAAAACACTGTTTGCGCATGGAGAAACGGTGGTATCCACTTTATCTCGAGACCAATCAGTGGATGTCAGGGATGCATTTGTAAAGGGAATTTATGGAAGATTGTTTGTTCTTATTGTCAGTAAAATTAATAATGCTATCTATAGACCTAAGAACTCAGCTCGCTCTGCCATTGGTGTTCTTGATATATTTGGTTTTGAAAACTTCCACACTAACAGGTAATTCCGTTGAATGGAATGGTTTTGTGAAAGTGAAACATATTTTTTGATACTAAGTTTTGTTTGTGTTCTTTTCTCCCTTGCTTTTTTAGCTTTGAACAGTTTTGTATAAACTATGCCAATGAAAATTTGCAACAGTTCTTCGTTCAACACATTTTTAAGCTGGAACAAGAAGAATACAATCTTGAGGCTATTAACTGGCAACATATAGAATTTGTTGATAACCAAGATGCGCTTGATCTCATTGCATCCAAACAACTCAACATAATGGCCCTTATTGATGAAGAATCTAAATTCCCTAAAGTATGTCTGATAATTTTATAAATATTGTTTATTGTTGTTAGTTTGTTTAATGGCCTTTATGCTAGTGTTGGTGGAGTTCAATAATGAGTTAATAATTTTTTTTCTTTCATTAGGGCACTGACCAGACTATGTTAGCCAAGCTTCATAAAACCCATGGAAGCCATAGAAACTACTTGAAACCAAAGTCTGATATCAATACAAGCTTTGGCTTAAACCACTTTGCTGGTGTTGTTTTCTATGATACGAGAGGTATGAGTTGTGCAATTATTGTTGTAAAATATGGAAATACTTCAAAAATTTGAACTGAATTCCAATAATTTTTGTAAATATTGCAGGATTTCTTGAAAAGAATAGAGATACTTTCTCAGCAGATTTGCTGCAGCTTATTCATATATCTAGTAACCGCTTCCTTCAGCTGCTTTTCTCTGATGATATCGGCATGGGCTCAGAAACTCGAAAAAGAACGCCTACTTTGAGTACGCAGTTCAAAAAGTCTCTTGATTTACTAATGAGGACGTTGAGCAACTGTCAGCCTTTCTTCATTCGGTGTATCAAGCCAAATGAATACAAAAAGCCTATGGTAAAAAATCTTGGCACTGCAGTAGTTTGTATTTATCAACAGAGCTTTGAATTGTTATGTGACTTTAAAATTTTAATTTTCTCAGATGTTTGATCGAGGATTATGCTGCAGACAGCTTAGATATTCTGGTATGATGGAAACCATTAGAATCCGAAGGGCTGGTTATCCCATCAGACACAGTTTTAATGAGTTTGTGGAGAGGTATCGATTCCTGATTTCTGGTATTCCTCCATCACACAAGGTAAAGAGAGAGAAAATTTGGTCTTTTAGTCTATAAAACTGACATATCAAGTCGAATAGATGTATTGAGGGCTGTTACACCATTGCTTCCCAGACTGACTGCCGAGCTGCTACCGCACGCATTTGTCAAGCTGTCTTGGGAAGGTCTGACTACCAGTTGGGCCGCACTAAAGTCTTCCTGAAGGATGCCCATGACCTGTTCCTCGAACAAGAACGAGACCGTGTCCTTACAAAGAAGATTCTTATCTTACAAAAAACCATCAGGGGTTGGGTTTACAGAAGAAGGTATGAATTTGACCACTTATCTCATAATTTTCTGATCTAGTTATAATTTTGCCAGTTACTAAGATAAGTCATGTCAACAAACAGGTACCAGCGCTTACGGGCCGCAGCGGTAACAATACAGAGGTTCTGGAAATCTCATGCCCAGAGGAGGAGGTACCTCAGGATGAGAGTTGGCTACCAACGGCTCCAAGCTGTTATTAGGTCTAGGGTACTGTCTCACCGATTCCGACACTTGAGAGGCCACATAGTTGCCTTACAGGCCAGAGCAAGAGGCTACCTACTTCGACGAGAAGTGCGAGCTAAGCGATGGGCGATAATCAAAATTCAGGCTCATGTAAGACGAATGATAGCACAAAGACGCTACCGGAAGTTACAATATGAGTTCTCTCAAAGGAGAGAAGCTCAGCGTCTGTTCAGAGAAGAGGAACATCAGCTGAGGCAACAGGGAGTTCCAAATGCCACAGAGATAGCTAAACGAAATTACAAGGTGAATTACGTTTTTATTTGTTTTGAAAAATGCTGCCATTAATGCTGAAATAAATATGGAAGAAAGTGTCTGTGGAGAAAATAATTTATTGTTTATCTGTTTTCAGAAAAGGTTAGAGGATCTTCAACTTGCTGTGGAGGAGCAGAGGCTTGCAGCCCAAGCTCGAACAGACGAGAGCAAACTCATCATTGACAAAGCTATGCAACAGCAAGACAAACCACTGGACGACAGCCAAGTTGTGGATGAGTTGTTCGGATTTCTACCCAAGAGCTCAAGTGAAGCACCCTCTTCTGCTCTGTCTCAACCACCTTCAGCTTTCAATGTAAGGTTTTGGAAATTTTTATCTGGATGTTACTAATTGACAAACAAAATATACTAAATGACTTTTTCTTTTCAACAGGATCTTCCTGTGCCAAAGGCAGATCAAACAGAACTGATTACTCCAATGCAGATTGTTAGTGAAGATGAGGAAGACCTTTCTGAGTACAAGTTCCAGAAGTTTGCTGCTACCTACTTTCATCCATCTGTTAACCATCAACACAGTCGTAAACCACTTAAACAACCTTTGCTTCCTCTCCATACTCAAGGTGACCAGTTGGTAAGTATACACTAATCAAACCTTCGGTCCTAAACTATGTTGACATTTCATCTTACTTTACATACTGCAAGTGTTTTCTCTCATCAATCTTTGTTTTTATGCTCTTTCAGGCTGCTCAAGCTTTGTGGATCACCATTCTACGTTTCACTGGTGATTTGCCTGAGCCAAGGTTTCACACTATGGATCGTGACAATACATCGGTGATGAGCAAAGTGACTGCAACTCTTGGTCGAAATTTCATTAGAAGTAAAGAGTTCCAAGAGGCTCAACTCATGGGAATGGACCCTGTAAGTAAAACAATTTTGTAAAATTATTTGACACGCTCTTTAAAGTAAAATGAAACTGATGCAATTTTTGATATTCTAGGAATCTTATTTAAAGCAGAAGCCTCGCTCCATACGACATAAACTTGTGTCCTTAACATTAAAGCGCAAACACAAGCTGGGAGAAGATGTCCGTAGAAGATTTCAGGATGAGGAGCATACAGCTGACAGTTATCAAAGTTGGCTCGAAGCTAGACCCACATCCAACCTGGAAAAGTTGCACTTCATTATCGGACATGGTATTCTAAGAGCAGAACTAAGGTAAGAAAATTGAATGAAAACCTCTACCTACTGAATTCTGCAATGTAGCCTCACATCAATTCCAGTCTGTCTTTGAGAAGAGCATAAATGTTGGGTTCTAGCAACTATAACTATTAAATGTGTTCTTCTTTTTCGATTCAACAGGGATGAAATTTATTGCCAAATATGCAAACAGCTGACAGGCAATCCTCACAAGTCTTCACATGCCCGCGGGTGGATTCTTTTGTCTCTGTGTGTGGGATGCTTTGCTCCCTCAGAAAGATTTGTTAATTATTTGAGAGCATTCATCCGAGAAGGCCCTCCTGGTTATGCCCCATACTGTGAAGAACGTCTTAAGAGGACTTTCAACAATGGCACAAGGAATCAACCACCTTCATGGCTAGAATTGCAGGCCACTAAAAGTAAAAAACCAATAATGTTGCCAATAACATTCATGGATGGTAATACAAAAACTTTGCTTGCGGACTCTGCTACAACTGCTAGAGAACTGTGCAATCAATTAGCTGATAAAATTGGTCTTAAGGACCAGTTTGGATTTTCTCTCTACATAGCTCTGTTTGATAAGGTAATTGAAATAATTAGAGGTAATAAGATATCAAATTCCATCCATTCCAAAATATATAACCATTTATTGTTGTTTGGCAGGTATCATCACTTGGCAGTGGAGGAGATCATGTCATGGATGCTATATCACAATGTGAACAGTATGCCAAGGAACAGGGAGCTCAAGAGCGTAATGCTCCCTGGAGACTTTTCTTCCGTAAGGAAATATTTGCCCCCTGGCATGAGCCTACGGAAGATGCAGTTGCCACAAATCTGATTTATCAGCAAGTCGTTCGAGGTGTGAAATTTGGAGAATACCGATGTGATAAAGTAAGTGCTTGAATTAACCAATATGTTTTCAATTTATAATCATATCATTGAACATTGACATGTATTGTCTATTCTCCAGGAAGAAGATCTTGCAATGATAGCAGCTCAGCAGTATTTCATTGAGTACAACTCAGATATGAACTCTGAACGTCTTCTGAACCTCCTTCCTAATTACATACCCGACTACTGCTTGAGCAATGCAGAGAAAAGTGTTGAACGTTGGAAGCAGCTTGTAGTACAGGCTTACAAAAAGGTAAACTTCCAAGACTGATTCTACAAATATGTACCAAGTGTTCTTTAAGATAGTTCTATTCAGATTTTGTTGTTTTTTTTTCTTTCCATCAGAGTTATTATTTGAAAGAACAGGTGCCAGTCCTGCGAGTTAAAGAAGATGTTGTGAGCTATGCCAAATTCAAATGGCCTCTTCTGTTTTCAAGGTTTTATGAAGCATATCGTAATTCTGGTAAGATTATGGTTCCAAATTACTGCAACCTTCTATTTTCCATTATGAACCGACCTTCATGAGAAAGTTTCTCCTATAATGTCTTCTCAGGTCCCAACTTGCCCAAAAACGATGTTATCATTGCTGTAAACTGGACCGGAGTTTATGTTGTTGATGACCAAGAGCAGGTGCTGCTGGAATTGAGTTTCCCAGAAATAACAACTGTTTCCAGTCAAAAGTAAGTTAAAATGCTAGGGTCGGATCTGATTAAATTTTTTTTTCCTGTATAACCTTATTAGAAAAAAAATACTCACATGCATTTTTGTGTTTTAGAACCAATAAGGTGTTTACCCAAACCTTCACTCTTTCCACTGTCCGAGGCGAGGAGTTTACTTTCCAGAGCCCAAATGCTGAGGACATAAGGGATCTAGTAGTTTACTTTTTGGAGGGCTTAAAGAAGAGAAGCACCTTTGTTATTGCTTTGCAAGACTACAAAGCTCCTGGTACTTGTTTATCTTTTGATTATATTTTTGCATGGCTTTGTGAATTTTAATTCTAACAGTTTTTTTATGTTTGTATTTTTTTTGTCAATAGGTGAAGGGTCAACTTTCCTATCTTTCCAAAAAGGTGACCTCATATTTTTGGAAGATGACAGTACTGGTGAGAAAGTGATGAGTTCAGGGTGGTGTGCGGGTAGGTGTGAGAGAACAGCAGAGAGGGGAGACTTTCCGGCTGAGACTGTCTATGTTCTTCCTGCACTTAGCAAGCCACCAAATGATATTCTGGTAGGAAAATTACAGATAGACAGTTTCTTAATAATCATGAGTAAGTTGAAATTTTATGGCTTTGTATCGCTTTTTCTTTCTGTTTAGGCATTGTTCAGTCTTGAAGGAGCGGAACATGGACGAAAACTGTATCCAACACAAGTTAATGGTACAGAGACACGAGAAAAGCCTTACAATCTAATGGAGTATTCACTAGACCACTTCAGGTAGTGTATCAGTTTTGTTTCTCTTTAAATCTAATTGGTGATATCCTTTTTAAACAAAATATCAACTGTTTTAGAACTCCACCAAAACGCACTATGTCCAAGGCTCTCACTTTAACAACAGCGAGACGAGGCAATTCTGATGAACTTTGGCGCCATTCACGTGAGCCATTGAAGCAACCATTGTTAAAGAAATTGCTATCCAAAGATGAGTTAGCAGAGGAGGCATGCTATGCATTCACTGCTATGTTGAAATATATGGGAGACCTTCCTAGCAAAAGACGTGTTGACACTGACCAGATATTTGATGGCCCTTTGAAACATGTATGTATGCTGTATACTAGTCCAGTATAGGTCCTTTTTCAGTGTATTTATGGCGCATGGAATTTCTATTTCACTATCCTACTTTCAGGAAATTCTCCGAGATGAAATTTATTGCCAAATCATGAAACAACTGACTGACAACCGTAACCGTTTGAGTGAAGAAAGAGGTTGGGAACTTATGTGGCTTGCAACAGGCCTCTTCGCTTGCAGCCAAAGTCTACTCAAGGCATGTTAACTGAACGAAATTTGAAGAAATTTTAGAAAAATGCTTTATGTTATCAGGAAAAAATCTTTTAAAACTCAATATTTTTTTCTCAGGAGCTAACTCAATTCCTGCGCTCTCGACGTCATCCAATATCTCAAGATTCTCTGCAGAGGTTGCAGAAAACATTGAGAAACGGTCAGCGCAAATATCCTCCTCATCAGGTTGAAGTGGAGGCAATTCAGCACAAGACAACTCAAATATTCCATAAAGTTTACTTCCCAGATGATACAGATGAGGTATGCTGATTTTTGAGGTTTTAAAGTGAATTTCTTCATGTAACATGTAAACATAAAATTTCAATCACAAAATATAAAATTTAATGCTGGTGATTTTATTTCGTAGGCGTTTGAAGTGGACTCATCAACCAGGGCAAAGGATTTCTGTCAGAACATATCTCAAAGGCTGAATTTGCGTTCAAGTGAAGGTTTCAGCTTGTTTGTTAAAATTGCAGACAAAGTTATTTCTGTACCTGAAGGAGATTTCTTCTTTGACTTTGTCAGGCATCTAACTGATTGGATAAAGAAGGCTAGACCTTCAAGAGATGGTAAGTCTATAGCACAGCAGTGTACACCTTAAGATGTTATAGAAACAGATTTTAAAAATTTGATCAACATTTCAGGAATAACGCCACAGTTCACGTATCAAGTATTTTTCATGAAAAAGTTATGGACAAACACTGTGCCTGGAAAAGATCGGAATGCAGATCTTATATTCCACTTCCATCAGGAGCTGCCCAAACTTCTCAGAGGTAATTGTTATTGATGAGTTATTACCACGCGTTATTCTTTCCAAAAAGATTTTAGAAAAATAATTTATTGTTTTTTTTTTAAAAACAAAATACAACAGGTTATCATAAATGTAGCAAGGAGGAGGCAGCTCGTCTTGCAGCTCTTGTCTACAGAGTTCGGTTTGGAGAAAGCAAACAAGAACTGCAATCTATTCCGTAAGAAAGAAATTGAGCTATTCAATGTTGCCTCTACTTTCACTCTTCCACTTTTTATATTTCTCTATTATTTTCACAGACAAATGGTCCGCGAACTGGTACCTGCTGACATGATCAAAATGCAAAGCTCTAGTGAATGGAAACGAGCAATTGTTGCTGCATATAATAGTGATGCTGGTATGTACAACAAAACAGAGGGATTGCTCGTGGGTGTTTGGCTTGAAGATAAAAACTACAATTTAAATCATTTTTCTAGGAATGAGTCCAGAGGATGCAAAGATTACATTCTTGAAGATCATCTACCGCTGGCCTACATTTGGATCTGCATTTTTCGAGGTGAAACAAACCACAGAACCAAACTGCCCAGAAATGCTTCTGATTGCCATAAACAAGCACGGAGTTAGCCTTATTAATCCAGTTGACAAGGTATTTACATGGCGTATGTGCAAAATGCAGGAATCATTGAGTATTATCCGCCCTATAATGATTTATTTCTTTTCTTTTCTAGGAAATTGTTGTTACTCATCCATTTACCCGTATCTCAAATTGGTCATCTGGTAATACATACTTCCACATGACAATAGGAAATTTGGTTCGAGGGTCAAAACTACTTTGTGAAACATCATTAGGATATAAAATGGATGACCTACTGACATCTTATATTTCTCTCATGCTCACAAATATGAGTAAGCAGCGTTCACTGAGGATCAAGTAAAATAATGATTATTCTGCCAGCAAAAATTTGTTTGCTCGCCTCTTATTTTTATGTTTTAAGTCAAAACTCTTGGGATGAATGTTATTTTAATTCTTTTATTAAAATTAAATTACCTTTTTATGGATGTCCAAATGCTGTGCTTTGAGGCACTCTCATTGGCAAAGGAATGGTTTCAAAGATTCCACCATGATGTGGATAATCTGATCAGCCATTCCTTTGCTAATGACAGTGTTTGTAAATGAGCTTCCTTTTATAAGTGTTTTTTGTTTTGCTTAGTACTGATTGACTGATAGAATTGTGTCGTGACAATGTTATATGGATTTAGTTGGAAAGTGAAAGGACTTTGAGTCAGTTACATTTCCCAAAGGATGATGTTTTGTTTTAATTAACTTTTATCTTAGACAATGGTGATTATGCTGCTGAGCTAATCCCTCCTGTCAATTCAGGCACACATGAAGAGAGTGAGGAACAGAGAGCCTGATAAGCTGCCATGAATAATTTGTATATATAAGTATTTCATCTCCAACTTCATGGATAGAGTAGCTTTCAAGCCTCTAGTCATGGATTATGCTAAATTGCCTGAAATTGTGTAATTTTAATCATGAAACTTGTATAAACATGCATAAAAGATAGTCATTTCATCATTATGTACAGATTAAGAACATATGCTCAAATCATTCTATTTAACGTAATTTATGACCGTCCACTCCCAGTCTTCCTGATCCTGGTTATCAAAGAATTATATATTTTCTTGAAATTGTAATTAATATATTGTTACAGTGTTTAAGTTTGTGAAAAATAATTGTAGATTCTTTTTATTGCAATAATGAAATTGATTTTGCTGGAAATGTGTCTTTATCCTTGATGCCTCCCAAGTCTCAGTGCAATAACACAAACATGTAGAGGTTAAAATTTATTGCAATTGGCTCTTAAAACATGATACAGGAAAGTAAAAATAGACCGCTTTCATGCAGTAATCACAGAAATCAGCACATCTCTTTTATATACAAGAAGTATGCCATTTCATGAAAATAGAACATATGGCAAAGTTAAAATAGAGATGAATACTATAGTTTCATATCAGTCTGAGTATAAAAACGTACACAAAACATCACAAATATCATGCATAATGCGTGCACACAATTACTTAATACTAATGGCTACGAGATTTGATTTCTTTTCGGCAAAGAATACAAGTACTGTTAGGCTAGTGGAGAAACATTGGTCCCACTCTTAATTTGGCCCTGTAAACAATATGTTTACCTTGGACTGTCAAATATTAAAAAATATATGTCATTAACTACGATGCCTGACTCCAAGGTCCATCAGAGATGGCAGGATAGCGATTATTCTGACTATCCCTTTGCGGCTCAGTTGTTCGATTGTCCTGGTCCCTATCAGTGTCTCTAGGTCTACGAGTGCGAATAATGTCCTCAGCAGGTGGACAATGAGGCCTTGGCCCAGGCTCAGGAGTGTAGGTAAAAGTAAGACCTGTAGCATAAATAACTCCATCATTGCGAACCAAAGATACGGGCACTTGTGTCGGCTGACGGACCCACTGCCATTCTCCTCGAAACTGAGTTATTTCAGGAACAACACATAACATTGTTTCTTGACATCGATATAGAGTCTCAGCTTCTACATCTCCAAACCAGACCTAAATAGGAAAAAAAAAAAAAAAAGATAACTTAAGAAACTAATAAAGAGTTGTAAGATACATGTTATTGGAATGAAGACTTTCATTACCTGAAGGTTTGGAGTGAAGTTTTCACCACTAAGCTCCAGCATAGCAACATCTCCTCCACCATTCAAATTCAATGAATGTACAATTGGAACTGGGGTAACTGGCAATCTAACTGGACCCATTCCTTCAAAGAATTGATATTCAGCCTTATCAGTTGATATAATTGTCCAGCAGGCACCATCATTTATCATCTCTTTGTTCAATTCCTGAATAACAATATGGTTTAGCCATATGATTACTTTGTAATGTATGGAACACAAAACACATTTGTCTCAAATTGAAATCACAACACATATCTTACCTTAGGGCATGGTGTTGCTTGAAATTGAATGATTCTTTCTTGACTTAAACATAAATACATGCGTTCAGTGTCTTTCATGTAGAAAGCACACTTGTGTAACTGAGAAACAGGATCATCAGCTTCCAATAAGGCCATCTGCTTGTCAACCTTTCGAATAATAAGTCTTGGCAGAGCCATACCAGTAACAGAGCACACAAGTTTTACAGTAGAACCATAGTGTACGTAGCCATCTCGAACAGTAAATTCTTCACTTTCACTCTCATTATCATCCAGGAGATGGATAGTGAAAGCACCCCACTGAGTAGAACTAGCATGGAAATTTCCATTTTCAACATGTAGGTACCTGGTGAAAGTAAACGTATATTATAAATAAACTGTACATTTGATTCTAAATGAATTCAATTGGGGCAAGCAACAAAAAAGTGTACAAACCTTGTGCTCACAGTTTGAGAGCGCAAACGGTTGAAAAGGGCTACTTTTGTGCCACTTGCTATACAAAGGTCAGCATTTTTCAGAGATTGTTTTTTCTTTGATGGTTTACTAATGACCTTGATTCGTTTGGAGTGAAATACACCAATATCTTGCCCAGTCCCATAAAACATTTTAACAGAAAGCATGAAATGCTTTCTCTTGTCAGAATCCGAGATGAACAGTGTTTTTGCTGCACAATACTGTTTTCCGTTGTTCAAATCAAGCTGCTGCATATCTTGGTCAGCGCTACCAATTCCAATGAATGCACACAACTGTGAACTCTGCTCTGATTCTCCTGTAAATTCAAAATGGTATAATGTGTACAGTTGAAGCCAAGCAGATAAATCAAAACTGTTTTTTTTAACTGACTGTTTACCTGCTCTCATGAGCTGTTCCTGCCTGAGTCGCCACCCATCTCCAAATAGATAAATACATGGAGGAGGGCAGAAGAATCTTTTCTCATTGCCATAAGACTTTTGAGCAACTTTGGCATGAAGAATGACAATCACCATGTCATTCCTTTCACGAAGATACCTTTCCATGGCATCTCGTGTCAAGCGTTGATCCAATCTTGAGCTCAACATGTTGAGAGGACTTGGGGCGATCACCCCACCTCCACCGCCCTGATTCACAGCTCTTTCAACAGGCCTTTGAGGAGGAGAGGGTGGACTATGCAGCCCATGAACACCGTATTGGTGTGGCATCCTTTAGTGTTATTCAAAGGTCATGATGGGACTGTCAACAAAACAAAACATATCAGAACCATACAGCTAGTAAGACTTATGCAATCATAAATGCGTAGGGAATGAGAAAAGAAATAAACTCTAGCATTTGAAAATATGAAAAAACAGTAAATTAGCCACAGTACAAGTAGGAGGAGAAACTGATTTAATTTTAAATGTCTTGTTCAGAGGAACTCCAGAAAGGTCTATGAACTTGTTACACCTTAACCTATGGTAAGGTACATTATTTCGGCCCAAAGAGTAATCACTGTACTTTGTAAGTACATTTTTGGAACACACCTCATAATCAGGGCCAGCGTTGTCAACAAACAATGCTGCGAAATAAATCTTTGGGTGACAAAAACAATCGAAACATATTGTATAACAGAAACGTAAACAATTCTCCCACGGTCCGCTTATCGAGTGCAGTGTCACGTCAGTGAGGAAAACTGACACAGAACATCAGGGCGAATCGATAAGGTGGCGCTTCGGAAACACTTTGGTGATAAAAAATGAAAAATTTAAGGATAAAAACATAAAACAATACATTTAAAACGCCTCACGCCGAACTCGGTTCGTTGAGACAAGCCGACGCCATCTTCACAAAACACCTGTTTGGTTCTCACCAAGGACGGCAACATCCCCGCCATGGAATTCAAGTGTTTCTGCACCGTGGTTCTTGACTTGGAATCAAATTTGCACAGCAAAATTAAAAATGCCTTATCATAAAAAGCCGTACGAGCTAACAGCGTGTTTCTCTTTATGGCTTTAACGTATTCGAATTCATAAAATCAGAACAGACTTTATGGTTTGTCAGGTTTTCCCTTTAATCATCACTTGCCCGCTCCGGTACATAACGGAAATTTCAATGTGAGATCCGACACCCGGCGTGCTTGAGGCTGGCCCTTGTAAATTCCGCATTGCGGAACGTCCGCGAATGTTTTAAGAAATTCTCCGGGTCATTTCTGATACCTCAATGTTCCGTTCTCCGTATTTGCTGAGAAGGTTGTCCATTTTGCATGAAACGTTATTCACAGGTTTGTTTACAAGTTCTGTCGGCTGCTAGCACAGCAGACTGTGATGGATGATTGACTGACACATCAATAACTTTTTAAATTGGCGTCAAGCTAAAGTCATTGAGAACAGTTGCCGTTAGTATATATTTAAATGCACTTAAGGTGCTTATCGTTAACTATCAGAACTAATTGTAATTAGTGCATGCATAACCTTATGTCAAGTTATCCCTGGTTATCCCCATTTACAAATTGTTATTCTGCCAGGAAAAATCAGACAGACCCTGCTTGTCAATGTCATGGCATCTATTCATAGTCAGCCTGAAGTGGTAATGTATTTTTTCCGATAATGCATACAATTATTTTGTTGCGTACAGCAAATATTAAATTAGTTCTCAATAAAAATAGGAAGTGTACCATAATTGTTCCTTCTGTTCTTCAGTCCATTATCATTCCCGTTTACAATGGCTCAAAGTGGTTGGATGACTGTTTTAAAGGAATACTTTCTCAAAATATATTGAACACTCAATGTGTAGAAGTTTCTATTTACAATGACAGTAGCACTGATGATACAGAGGAAATTATATCAAAATGGCAGTCTGAACTGAAAGACAACTCACATATAAAAGTTACACTGTCAAGTGGGCAAGGGAAGCCCCAGGGAGGTGAGTCTTTTAGGTACTGTATCATGTTTAAGTTACATGGAGCATCCCGCTTATAATTTTGCTTGTAATGGTTGCCAATATAGTCGGATTTGCCAAGAATCGAGCAGTGGAACAATCATGTGGAAGCTTTCTATGTTTTCAAGATGTGGTAAGAGTGAAATTGTGATGAATTCTCTCTCTTCTTCCCACCTATAGCTTCTATTTATGCTTGCATTTTACAGGACGATGTAATGCTCCCACACCGAATACACCACCAGTTACAAGAAGCAGAGAAATTTCCAGAGGCTGTAAGTGCCACTAAAAATGTTCAGCTTATAACACCTGATATATAACATTGCATTATGTATAAATTTGTTTTCTATTTTCTAGATTATAGGTTGCAAGTTTGTGAGAGAACCACCGGAATCAACAGAACGTTTTACAAGGTGGGCCAATGAACTTAGCCATGATAAGTTAGGTGTTCAAATTTACACTTCACATGGACCCACAATTGTAATGCCAACCTGGTTTTGCACCAGAAAAGTGTTTGACAAGTAAGTTTTCAACTTGGTGACCGAGAATGAGAAACCAAAGCTGTAATTCAATAAACAAACTTCTCAAAAAAATTTGTGAAACAGAGTTGGAGGGTTTTCTGAAGCTGGCCAAGGAACACCAGAGGATTTAATATTTTTTTATAAACATCTAGATCTTAAGGGTAAAATCCGGCGGGTAGATGAGGTCCTACTGATGTACCGTTACCATGAAAATGCCACCACGTTTTCAATTCATGAGTAAGTCTTAAGAATCAAGTCTAGGCGATCTGTTTATTTCAGAAACTAATTGTGATTGAATTTATGGCAGAGACACTATATGGAATGTACGATTGGAACACCTCACACATAATGTACTGAAGGGTTGGCCTAAATTCACTATATGGAATGCTGGAAAGCAGGGCCGTAAATTTTACCGGTCGCTTGCTCCAGAGCTACAGGACCAAGTGTTGGCAATGTGTGATGTGGATGTCAAGAAAATAGGTAAACACTATCAACCCTATTACCCTGAAGACCAAACCAGAAGCCGAAATAGCAGATCTATTCCCATTCTAGATTATCAGACTGCTAAACCTCCCTTTGTGATATGTCTTAAACTGGTAAGTATTCAGTAAATAAAGAGCTAATCATGAAGCTGACAAATGTGTGTCAACAAGACAAAAAAATAATTTATTGAATATGATTGTTCTAGGATTTGACAGCTGGCAACTTTGAAAGGAACCTTGCATCTTTAAAACTAGTAGAAGCAAAAGATTATATCATTTTCAGCTGATTTAAAACCTCAATTTTTATGAATAAATTTTAACAAAAAATCATTTTGTTTTCTTCTGGCAGTATTACTGGCTTACCTCACATCAGAGTTCAAACATAATTAACAGCTTTGGGTTCAAGTAACTCCTGCCAATCTAGATATAAATATTCACCCGAAGACACATCATCATTGAGACACTCGTCAAGATCCAAGCTGAACTTTCCCTTCTCAGTTTGAAGTTCATCAAGTCCCTCTGCAATACAATCAAAACCACAGTTTTTCTTAATAGTTTGAAATGTCTAAAAAGTTGAAAATATAATCCCATCCAGAAACACAATTAACAATACATTACCTAGGATTTGAACATAAATTTGTTTGTTTGCTGCATCAGGTGAAATGACACGTGCTTTAATTGGTGCAGAGACAACTGGAGAGTAGTTACACATTTTTAAAATCTGAAACACATTATTTTTTATTATTATAGAAAGTTCAAAATGAAACAGAAAAGTCAATCAAAAGGGACTTACCTGAAATTGTATAATAGTTTCTTTGACAGGCAAATCATTTAAGGGAGTTAGCTTTATAGTCTTCTGTTGAGGGATCACAGTGGTGTCTTCCTCATTTATTTTGACCTTCTCTGCTTTTTTGCGTTCAAATACAGCTGGGGACTTCTGTTTACTCAAGGACATGAGCTTTGCTAGACCCAGAGCACCATCATCTAGGGCAGGTGAAGAAATGGAAGGTAAGATCTGACTTTCATCATTTTGATGTGAACTGCTCGTTGGCTCTTCAGTTGAAGAAATCTTTACATCTTCTGGTTCTTCTGCTATAGGGGGTCTCTCAACAACTTTTGTGTCTTCTAATGTCAATATTTTCTTTGTAACCTTTTCTTCTGTGAGTGACAAAAATGTGATTAGTTAAGTTAAAATACTGCAGTTACAGTATTCTCAATGAAAATGAAACAAAAGTGAAAAAAGTATTTGCTAACCTGGGTCATCAAAAAAAATATGTTTCCTCTTCTTGTTACTTGTCAATGATGTGTTAACATCTGCTGGTGTATTGTTACCCATTACGGTACTCAGTGTGTAACTTATACTCTGAAGGAACTTGTTTTGAATATATTGGCTTCGCTTGGTCTCCTTTGTATTTTCATCAACAGTGGTATCAGTGGCAGATTTCTTCTTTCTTCTTCGGATTCTCTTTCTTTTTTTACTTTCAGAACCGATTTCACTTGCGGTTTCATTGCCTTCCAACACAGGTGGTGTCGATAAAGTTTCATTGGCCTCACCATTCTGCTCAGGTTGCTCTACAACTGGATTTTTTGTTGCTTCAAGGGATGGAGGTTGACCAACAGCAAATGGATTTTTGATGCTGCTCTTCAAGCTGGTGGCTCCATTATCTTTCACAATTACAGGACCATGGCCGTTAGTTACGACAGATTTGGGGGGTACCATATCAGTCTTAGACACAACAGGTTTAGATGGGGGTTTACACAAGTCCTTCAGATCCGTGCTCTTGAGTGCTGAAAGAGCATCTTTAGTTTTATCGATAATTTGAGAAATTTTAGGAGCGTCTTCTGGGACAACACTGGAACAAAAGGTGAAGAATGGAGACAATGTCAGGTAGAACTGCAAAGGCAGGCATCGTATTTTAGTGAAGACATACCTGACTATATCATTATCACGCAGTAGTAGTGAGCTCTCAGAGCTGGGCAGCAGCCAGCCGTCATTCTGGATGTGGATGGCTTGCTTCAGACTGAACAACCGGCAAATGTGCTCCTCCACATCTCCCACAGTCCTAAACTTTTCGTGGTCAACGAATATGCAGCTTTGCTTGCGCGAGCAGGAAAACAGTGCAGACAAATCAACCCAGATTCTGCTTCCATTCATGGTGGATTGTCAATGGTTCTCGCATCTGAACGCGAGGGAAAGTAAACAAACACACGATCTGGGGAGAGGTTAGGCGCTCGTGCTGACAGCAACGAATCTGAATGTGGTTCTCAGCTTAAGCAACGTTGCCGAATGAAATTCCCACTTGCTCCAGTCAGGCTTTAGTGCTTAAGCTTGGACTCTGGCTCTATTTTCATAATTTTTTATGTCATTACTCGAATTTATTTTGATAGCATCTCACCTCTTTAGTACAGTTTCAATAGTCGAGAAGTAATCATTAAACACTCGTAGTGTCCTTGCGCGCACCCCTGCCCACTCGGCGCAGCGCGAAAATTTGAAACACGCTGGTTCGAAAGTCCTAGAATTTTTCAACCTGCGATTTTGACCCAATATTGACTTACGATATTTTAATGTTTTAAAAAATGAGAAACAACTGAAAAAAATAAAAATAAAATACTGTGGAGTTTTTTCATGCCGAGCGCAGCAACACTCACTGTGTTTGCTCTCATAATTCTGGGAACCGCAGTTTTCTCGGTTGTTCATCCCGCCTTTCTTCCACATTTGAGTCTCGAAGGGTCGCCGGGTCGCTCCCCCTCCACCGCGCACCGCGGGCCCCCTCGACTTTCGGAAGGCCTTCCGCGGACCGCTCGGGTCAGACCCCTCAGCTCCGCGCGACAGCCAACTAGCAGCCCTCGGACAGCCTCTGGACAGACTCTGGGCAGCCTTTGAAAGGAATCGTTCGGAAGGGGATGAGAGAGAAAAAAGACTGCTTTTAACTCGACAAAGGTAAATATTGTCCCATCAAAAAATAGGTTTTGAAAAAAAAGGGATGCATCTTTTTGAGCAGAGACAAAACGTATGTCTATCGCCGAACTAAAAAAAGTAAAAAGTTAACAGAGACTTGGTGACAGTTGGGTGGCTAGAACGAATCGTTGTACCGACGGTTCCAGATGGTGGTGACGACGGCAGAGGCTGCTGTTGCTGCTGTTCCGCGAAAGCAGGAGGAAATGGAAGACAACGCAGAGGCCGTCCTGGAGGGCCTGCAGGGCCTGCGCGAGCTGGTGCAAGGTAAGCGCGCTCCAGGCGCTCTGGCCCCTCGTCGTGGCTGGGCTGGCTGGCTGGTCCAACTTACAGGTCTGTGAGTTAAAAGTTTGAGTCAAAGTTTCCCCGTGCTGCACAGCTGACGCGGACCTGGTGTGTCCGGTGACGGACGAATTCCTGTCCCGGTTCCTCTGGGCCGCGGACCTCGACGTCAAAAAATCGTACCACCTGGTAAGTGACGCCTGGTCGAGGGTTCGAGTACCGCCGTGTTTTTTCTTTTTTCCTCTGCCGTTTCCGACCCTGAGCTTCCCGCCGCCCCAGGTCCAGGAGTACTTCGCCGCGAGGCGCGACTACCCGGACGTGTTCCTGCTCAACGACCCCAACATGTACGTGTCCATCTTCGAGAGCAACGAGCTGGGCTTCGAGCTGGCCGACAGAGACGCCCTGGGCCGCCGGATCTTCGTCGCCAGGATAGGTGAGGGGAGGGGGTCGGAGCGCCCGGCAGGTAGGCAACGCTCGCGGTGCGACGCAGCCGTGTCTGCGCATTGCCTACCCGCCGGGCGTCGTGGGGCGCGCGCTCTTGGTGGCTCTTGCACACTTACGTGTTTTCGTCCGGCTGTCTGACCGACCGTGGTGCGGCCAGGTGACATGGACCCCACCCGCCACAAGTTCGAGGAGGTCCTGCAGACGTGCCTGATGACGCTCGAGTCCCTGTCCGTGGACCCCGAGGTGCAGCGGCTCGGCATCGTGGTGCTGGTGGACATCACGCGCTTCTCCTACAAGCTGGTGCGCTGGCTGACACCCTACAAGATCAAGGTGTCCCTCAAGTTTCTGCAGGTGAGAGGGGGGAGGGGGAAAAAGTGTGTCTCTCTCGGCGGCCGTGTGCTGAGCAAACGGTGTGCTTCCAGGACTGCATCCCCATTAAAATGCAGGCCTTCTACTGCGTGAACGCGCCGCGGGTCTTCAGCCTCACTTACAACGCGGTGAAGCCGCTAATGAAGGAGGAGTTCAGACGGAAGGTGAGTTTCGAGACACGTGCCCTAAACGCGCTCTTTTCTACCCAGAACAAAAAAACACGATTTTGTGTCGTCAGATTTCTTGGCACAATGGTGACCTGTCGTCGCTGCACAAGGTGATCCCCCCCTGCGTGCTCACAAAAGACTTCGGAGGCACCGGGGAGGTCAACTGGGCCGATTGGTTCAACCACGTCTTAGAAAAGAAACCTATGTTCGAAGGTACGTTTCACCCCCCCCCCCCCCCCCTTCTTCCTCACCCAAAAACAAAACCAGTCTAAATAATTTTTTTTCTGTTTGTGTGTTTTTTTAGAACTAAAATCGTACGGGTACGTGAAGCAGCGCAAATAAGTACATCGCCTAGTTTTAACTAATTGGAAGAACATTGTCTGTGTTTACTGTTTACCTTTTACTTTATAATGTGCCACTTTTCACTCACGCAGGATATTTTCCCGCTCCTTTTCCATGCTTACTGTATAGTATTTCATCAATCTGTGATGGACAAGTAAATAAACTACCAGTTAACGTACGCAACGTCTTTCTCGACCCCATTCCTCTGCACGCATCGAAAAGGAAGATAAAAAAAATCCCTGCCTATTTTGAGAAGACAAAAGGCACTTTGGCAGCAAACAAAACAAACATAAAACTTGAAAAAAAAACACAAGGCGGTTTGACCCGAGCGGGGTCAGCCGAAATGGTGGAGATGGAGATAGCCGTTTTTGGCGATGAAGTGGCCACTTCCGCACAACGAGCACGGAGTTTACGGAGTTTGGGTTCGCCGGCCCCATCAGCATGTTATCACTTGAAGTGAGGTTCATCAAACGCATTCGTCCGGCAAAAGGAAAAAAAGAGGAGGCGAGACGCCGTGCCTGTTGCAATGTTCTAGAAGGCTGCGCCTCGGCTGGCCGGGCCGACACCGAAGCCCCGCCGGCCCAATTTCCGCTCTTGTCATTGGTGCTCTTGTTGTTGATGACAAAATCGGGCCGTTCGTGGAGCACTGCTAGCGTGTGAGAGAGTGCGAGGGAGAAAGGGAATGTTGAGCAAAAGTGAAGGAGGCCGGCAAGCTGACAGGGAGACGGACAGACTCCGGCTGACTCCGGGCAGTGCATTCGTCGCTCTGTCTCTCTCGTACTCACGGGGCGTTCCGGAGGGTGCGAGAGAGACAGAGCGACGGGGGCGGTTTCGGAGGCAGCCTGCAGCCTGACAGAGGGCGGCTAATGGGCTGGCTAGGCTGCGCGGCCGGCTGCCGGACTGCCGGCCAATGCATCATGCATTAGGGATGAAGACGTCCAGGCCGTCCGGGCCGCGCGGCCAGGCAGCCGACTCGTCCCCGCCAGTCCCCGCACCACATTCGGATCCAGATTGCGGTTCAGGCTGCGGGGCAAAAGTGGGGCGGGGGTTGGAATCGAAAGTGGGGGTGCGAGAACTACGGGAATCCGAATCTCGATGGGTGACAATGACTCTGGTGCCTTGACTAACAACCACTAACAACAGTCTGCACTTCAAAAAAAAAAAGTTTGGTACGAAAATTGGGGCACGAGAAACGTACGGAGCTTCCGTTGAGGGGCAGCTAAGCCCTGGAACCCGGATTAAGCGATCAGGGGGGCAGGTATCAAAATGAATGCAATCCACTAGCTTCCCCTCACACCCCCGGGCGACGCCCCCTGAGTGCGAGAGAGAGAGGGTGGCGCCGATCGGCATCAACCCGCAACCACGCCCCGTCCGAACGAGCCCAGCGAGCCCCATCTGCGTCCCTGGACTCCCTCCTGGACTCCCTCCTGGACTCCCTGGACGAGGCGGATCGCCCGGAACGCTTTTGAATGCGTGGGCGGGCTGATGCCGAACCGCGTCCCTGTCGCTCTGTCTCTCTCGCACTCACGGCGCGGTGGGCCGCGAGAGAGAGAGAGAGAGAGAGCGAACGGCCCGCATTATTGATGTGCGGAAAGGGCTTAATTAGGCATTCAGTCACTGCCTCGCTGGCCGCGTGGGCCTCGCACCTCCACCGTCGAGTTTGAGAGGCGCTCGAATAAACGACGCAGGCCGGCCGCGGCCGCCGGTCAGTGTGTGTGTGTGTGTGTGTGAGGGTGAATGTGTGGGTGTGTGGAGGGTGGATGTGCGTGTGTGGCGGGGGGCACCGCGGGTCGTCCACATAAACAACTTACTCGTGAAATTAAAGGGCAAAGTCAAGAGCCCGGCACCGATACAGCACACACGTGTGTGTGTGTGTGTGTGTGGTGGGAGGAAAGAGAGAGGGAGAGCGAGCGAGCGTGCGTCCGCGCGTGTGTGGGTAAGTGACGGAGAGGACGTCTATCCCAATAATTAGTGGGTCGTCGACCAGGAAGCCGACGAAGCCGCCCGGCCCGACGCGGAAACACGCTGCCTATCTGCTCTGCCCCGCGCTTTGCCCCGCGGCCCCGCGCCCTGGGCCGGCCTGGGCCTGGGGGCCCCCTGACCGCCTAACCCCGTTGATAAAGTCACCCCCTTCGGGGCCCCGCCGCCCCGCCGCCCCTCCTGCCGGCCGCTCGGTCCGTCGGCTGGTCCGGTCGGAAGGCGGAAAGGAATACACGCGTCGAGCATGTCGCATCGTCGCGCTGTCTCTCTCGCACCCTGCGGCACGCGCCGTGAGAGCGACAGAGACAGCGCACTGTTCGAAATCAGCTCGCTGGCCGGGGACCGTCCGCCTGTCCGTCTGTCCGCCCGTCCGTCCGGTCCATCAGCGCGTCCGGCACCGCGACCGCGGCGCGGAGAGGCGACATCGGCGTGGTCAAGCAAGCTGGCGGCTGGGAGCGCCGCGCCGCGCCCTGGAGGACACCGTCAGCACCGCGAGCATGCACCACCTGCCCCCGGAGTGGGCGGAGAAGGCGCGCCTGGAGCTTAACGAGGACCCCCTGCAGACGCCGGCCCGCCTGGAGGAGCTGCGGCAGCGCCTGCAAGGTACGGCACAGTGTGGGCACGCCCTGGAGGACCTGGAGGACCTGGACAGGTACAGGTTCGGCCGCAAGGCAGTGCCATCGCGCACATCGCGCACATCGCGACGTATCGACCTGTTGATCCGGGAGCGCGCGGCCAAACGGCCACACGGCCACACGGGGCGAACGGCTAGGCTAGACCGCCAGCGGCGCCAGCCCGGAAGGGCTTATGGCGTGCCCGTCTTGCATTACAGTGCATCCTGTTGCCCTGCCCGCCCCGCCAAACACCACTTGAGCGCGGCAAAAAATTAAGTAAAAATGAACACGTGGAAATTTTGATCTGCGACTGCACTGGGGGTGGGTCTGTCGTCCTGGCCTCTGCCCCGGCACGCGTGGGCTGGCGCGCCACGCTGCATCCCCGGGGGCCGTTGGCGGCAAGTTATAATTGCGTGCGGCGGGCTTGAGGCCCTGCTCGAAGCCGGCGCCGAAAGTGCGCGCTCCGTCGCTCTGTCTCTCTCGCACGCACGCACGGCCCGCCGGGTGCGAGAGAGACAGAAGCACCGTTCGGAGTCGCCCTGCAGGTGGGCGGGGACAGTTATTAGGGAACTGACGCCGCGCGCCGCTCGACATGTCGCGGTAATTCAATTCCCCCTCCCCTCCTCCGTCTTATCCAGCTCCCCCCCCTCTCGCTTCATCCCTTTTGGCGCCGTCATCAAAAACGACTCGACGGCCAGGGTCACGTCACCCTTTGGAACCCCGCCCGCCGCGCGGCACAGCGGTTAACTATGGGAAAAATTGTGAAAGGAATCACTGGCTTCTGGCGTGGAATTTGCTACAGAGGAGACGCGATGACACTACTTGCCCGGCTCGCTTCTCTTCGCAGAAGCGGGGCTGCCCGGCCATGGCGACCTGTGCATGGACGACGCCTTCTACCTCACCTTCCTGCGCGCGCGCAAGTTCGACGTGGAGAAGACCGTGAAGCTGGTGCGCCGCTACTGCGAGATGCGGCGGCGCTACCCGGACGTGTGCCGCTTCGCTGCCGCCTCCAAGCACCGCCGCTTCCACGAGACGCGCGCCGTCACCGTCACCCTGGACAGGAGCCACTTCGAGGCCCCCGTCATCATCGCCAAAATCGGTAGGCCGCGCCGTGCCGTGGTCAGTGCGCAGTAATCCGAGCGTCTTTTCACTTTGTGCCCGGCCTGCCTTGCAGACTACTTTGACCTGAGCCACATCACCACCATGTACGTGGTGAGGCAGTACTACACCGTGCTGGAGACGTGCGCGCTGGACCCCATGACCCAGGTGTCCGGGCTGCACCTCATCCTGGACCTGCAGGGCATCAACCTCAAGCACGTCCGCATGATCACGCCCACCTTCGTCAGCACCGTGGTCAGCCTCACGCAGGTACGTTGGGCATGGTGGTCATGGTGGCCGTGGTCATGGTGGCCATGGTCATGGTGGCCATGGTCATGGTGGCCATGGTCATGGTGGTCGCCGTGGTGGTCATGGTCGTGGTCTTTTGCAGGAGAGCTACCCGATGCGGTGCCGGGGCGTGCACGTAGTAAACCAACCCTTCGGCTTCGAGGCCATCTACGCCCTCTTCAAGCCGTTCCTCGCCGAGAAGCTCCGCAGGAAGGTAAAGCAGTCGGCTTACTCTTTAAAACGCATCCATTATTTGGAGAGCGCTCCGCCAGCCCGCCAGTCCGCCGCCCCGAGACGAGAAAGCCGAGGGATGGTGGTATTCATCTCTGTCTGACGGCCGCGGGGCGGGGGAGCGGCGGGGCTGCAGGAGAGAGAGGAAGAGAGGGAGGTGATCGAAGGGGCGGAAAGGTCAAGCAGTCGAGATTGAAGGAATAAGGAAAATAAGTCAGAAAAACACTGACACGCTGTGCCTCCCATTTGTGCCGTCCTGTCGGCTACACTGATAAAGAAGTGCAGCGTCCTGCTCGGAGCGCTCGCAGCCCGATGGGTTGCCTGCGCGCAGGCGGCGCCCGCCTGGCAGCCATTTTTAACGACAAAAAATAACAGCCACTGCTACTGCTGAATCTCCTTCGTTCATTAATTTTTGAAATGACGAACACAATGGAGGCCGAGCTAGCCCACTCCACTCCGTGCTCTTGTTCTCCTCCTCCAGGTGCACGTCCACGGCTCGGACTGGCGCGGCCTGCACGAGCACATCCCGGCCGCCGTGCTGCCCCACCTGTACGGCGGCCGCCGGCAGGGCATCGACAACGGGCCCTGGCTCAAGCGCCTGGAGGCCGTGGAGGAGGCCATGCTGGCCTGCCCGCACCACGGTTGCTGACGCCGGCCCCACCGGCCTCAACGGCCTCAACGGTCACACTGCAGCCAACCCAAGGAACCCCGCGCACCGCCTCCAAAATCAAAACACTCGATGATTGATGATATACCACTCTGTACGTAACAACATAGTTCATGTTCTCTGACGCGACATGCCATGTTTTAATTATTTTTAAGGTTTAAAAAAATAATGTACGTGTTAAGAATAGTTTGTATATTCTAGTGACTAATATGAAGATCTTGTATATGTATTATAGTAAGATGGGAAATGAGGAAAAATATAAACGCACTACCACTAGTTGGTTTCGATTCATTGTCTTATTCATCCGAGTGGCATCACTGCGGGCAAAACAACGGCGGGTATTGTGGTAGGTAGCACACCGGAAAAAGGCGCCTTGTATCGGCAATCGCCGCGATCGCGGCAGCCGCTCCGTTAACACACGACAGAACGAAGTACTCTCTCTGTCCCGGTGCGGCCTAAGTGCGGCCACACTTAAAAAATAATAAAGCTTGCCCCCCTTTTGCACTGGCGGGTATCGCCGTGATGATCGTGTGGCAGCACGCCGGCCAATCCTCGCTCGCGGTGGCCGTGGCAATGCCAGTGGCAATGGATTAGGTCACAAAAAAGTTTTTTTTTCTTTTTGCTCGCGGGTCCCTCTCTCTCTCTCCTCGCTCCTTTCGTCCTCCCGGCCGGCCGTCCCATGGCGGTCATGGCGGTGCGCGGAGCCGCGCGGAGCGGATCTGACGTGTGCCGCGGCGTGGCGGGGCGCGGCGGCGTTCGTGCGGCCCAGCGAGGACGGCGAGGACAGTCGGTGAGGCCAGTCCGGCCACTGTCACTAGAGCACCGTCACTGGAGCGCCGCCACCGGAGCACCGCGACGCCTGGCGACGCCATGGGCCTAGGCAAAAAGTTCTCCCGGGCCAAAAAGTCGTCGACGGCCGCCCTCCCGGCCGCCAAGACCGCCGATGGGGCGGTGGACGTCGCGGGCGTCCAGGCGGTGGACGTCGTGGAAGAAGCGTGTGGCGGCGACGCGGTTCCGGACCTGGTTCCGGCCATGGCGGCGAGCCACGCTGGCCACCAGGACGGCGACGGCCCTGTCCAGGATGTGGGCCCGCGTGAAGGCGGCGCTGAGCCCGCCTGGCAGCTGACGGGGTCCTGGCTGCAGCGGGCGCGCGACGAGCTCCACGAGGACCCCGCCAGCACCGCGGCCCTCCTCGACCGGCTGCGGGGACTCGTGCAGGGTGAGGACTGCCTGCAGGTCGCTCTCTTTCGACTGGTTTCCAACTCGTAGCACCACGCAGTAGTTCGCACCAGCCGTTTGATTCCGGACAGTGCCTTCGTCGCTCTGTCTCTCTCGCGCTCACGTGACACGCCGCGTTGGGTCACTCGGGAGCCCGACGACGGGGCCTTGTTCGCGTTCGGCACCATCGGCACTCGGCACGCTCTTCGGCCATTTCTGTGGCGGGCACGGGCAGGCCTCTCGGCACTCGTGTTTGAGGTACGGCTGTGCCTAATGAGGTATGCACTCGGCCCGGATTGCACGCTGGCTGCAGCTGGCCCCGCCCCGCCCCCGCACTGCACTTCCTGCCGTCCTGCCTGGCCATGCCCGCCGCTCTGCAGGACAGGTGTTGGTTTCGCCGCCGCGGCGCCTCGGCCACGGCCACAGCGAGGCCATCCGATTCAAATTTCGAGCCGCGTGCTGCCCGCTAACTGCACTTTCGCGCTTTGCAGCTCGCTCTGCACCGAGCAGTCCCACTCTCGTTACGGTAGCACCACGGAACTCAAGGACGTTTTGCGTTGTGTTTTTCCTTTTTCAAGTCGGCGGCTCGTGGAAAAAAGTGGGCAAGAACGCCGTCCTTGACGCCCGTGTGCCCACCGCGCATCAGCGGAGCCGTTCCGAACGCCGCTTTTGTCTCTCCGTCTCTCTCGCACTCGCCGGCCGTGCCACGCGCGTGCGAGAGAGACAGACCGGCGGAGGCGGCACGCTGTGTGGGATGAGTCTGCGGTTCGGGGCTCTAGGGCGCCCAGGGAGCGTCCCCGAGCGACGTGGGTGCAAACCGCGAGTCGGAGTCGGAAGTAGAAAAAAGGGGGCGTGGCGGTCGACTTTCACTTCGGCCAGAGGAAGTAACCGAACGGATTCCGATTTCGGCAGAGGACGGCGATCTCCGCGCGCGCTGCGACGACGGCTTCCTCATCCGCTTCCTGCGCGCGAGGAAGTTCAACGTGGTCAAGGCCCACAAGACGGTGAGTGGCCATCAGCGAGAGGGGTAACGGGTGTGGTGCGCCTCTGGCGACCCACCGACCGGCCAGCCGGCCCCTCTCTCTTCCTCCGTAAAATAACATCCAGCCTATCGTGGCCCGAGGCACGGGCGTATACAGTTCGCGGCTGCCGCGGCGGGGGAGTATTGAAAATAAAACACCATCATTTTCCTCCCGCCCGCGGAGAGCGCGCACACGCGGCCCTGCAGGCCGAACAATGGCTCTGTCTCTCTCGCACTCGTGCGGCGCCCCGTCGGGGTGCGAGAGAGACAGAGCGACGAGGCGCTGCTCGGGAACAAACTGCAGGGGCGTCGCGCGGGGTGCGCGGGGTCGACGTGGACGGGGCAACAAACAGCCTCGTGTTATGGAGAAGAATGGCGACGCTTGCACACCCTCTGAATGGCATCGGTTATTGGTTTCCGGTTGGCCGCTCCACCCCGCCCCGCCGCGCCCCGCCCCCCACAGGTGCAGCGCTACTACCACATGAAGCGGAAGCACCCCAACCTGTTCCGGGCCGACAACCTGGACCGCCTGGACGGCATGATGGCCGCCGAGATGCACGGCGTGCTGGAGGGCCGCGACAATGAGGGCTGCCGCGTGCTCTCCGTGAAGATCGGTGAGTCCGAGACCCGAGACCGACCCGGGCGCGTTTTGAGCTCCAGAGTCGCTAAATGGGACGCGAACCGAGCGTGTGACCCCACCAATGGATTGCTCTCCGAGCGAGGAATCCATTGGTGGGGTCACACGTTCGGTTCGAGTCCCGTTTAGCGACTCTGGAGCTCAAAACGCGTCCAGTGTTTTGGCCGCCTCCACGCAGTCACGCAGCACGCCCCGTTCCCAGACAACTACAACGGCTCCCTGCACACCGTGGACGATTTCTTCCGCCTCAACGTGGTGGCGCTGGAGCAGATGGTGCGCGACCCCGAGACCCAGGTGTCGGGCATCGTCGTCATCGTGGACCTCGGCGGCTTCGGCCTGCAGCACGCCGCCTTCCTCGCGCCCTACTACGTCAAGAACACCACCGAGGTCATCCAGGTACACGGCCTTAGTTACCGTTTTTACTTCACAGTGCACTCACCCGGTAGGTAAGTTGCCTGAGAAGTCTAGTTAGGTCCGTCACTGCTAGTAGTCGCGCCGACACACCCTAAAAATGTTTGTTTTCACTGTCCGCCCAGCCGGTAGGGCCTAAGAACGCTAGTTAGCTCAATCACTGCTGGTACAGCCCGCGCCAACACACGCTCTTCATCCCCGGGCCTCTCTCCTAGATTGCTGTCCCCCACCCCCAGCGGCCTCTCCGATTGCGACTGAAGCCCTGGTGTTTTCTTGCCCAATTTATCTTGGCAGGAGTCGTTTCCTCTGCGCTTCAAGGGGTTCCACGTGGTGAACCAGCCCTTCTACTTCGCGGCCCTGTACGCCGTCATCAGGCCCTTCATGAAGGAGAAAATGAAGCGACGGGTGAGTCGAACGGAGTCGGGCTCGAGACAGACAGACAGACGGACGGACAGGGACCTGGAAAGCAATTAGACTATGCTCCGTCCCCCAGAGCCTCGGTTTCACTTACAGTGCTGCGATACTGCGATCCCCCGGCTCTGTTGGTAGCACTGCACTCAAACTGCTCGTCGCACCGGCCCACCGGCCTCACGCCAAGCCCCGCCGCTTCCCCGCTTTCCCCCAAATCCCCCCGCTTGGCACGCCTTGAGTGGATAGGGACCGCCATGGAGGAGAGCGTGACTTTCTGGTGTGGTGCCGCCAGGTGGTGCTGCACGGCACGCGGTTCGACGAGCTGCACAAGGTGGTGCCCAAGGACATCCTGCCGCAGCAGTACGGCGGCCCGCCCGCCGGCTTCCAGTACGCGCGCTGGGCCTCCGCGCTGCACGGGCTGGCCGGCTACTTCGCAGGTGAGTCTGCGCTCTGTCTCTCTCGCACTCACGGGGCGCTCCGCAAGGGTGCGAGAGAGACAGAGCGCTGTTCGGAGTCAAGCTGCCGGTCGGCCGAGCGCGGCCGAGCGCCCGTGACGCAGGCAACCCGGCGCGCAGCCACGCGCGGAGCGCAAGAGGTGGCCTACCGCCGGGCGCTCGGCACGCTCGGCGGCGTCCACCAGAAAAACTCCGCACGGCACGTCGTCCTGCGATGATAAAAACTTGTCCCGCTTTTCGTTCGCATTATTCGCAGAGTTGGAGAGTTTCGGGTACCCGGAGGAGGCGGAGGGGGAGGGGGAGGGGCGACGCCGCCTGTCCCTGTTCTCCACGAGCCGCCGTCAGTCTGCGGTGTCGACCGACGGCCGAGCCGACGGCCAGGGCGGCCAGGGCGGCCAGGGCCCGGCGCCGTGACAGATGCAACAACAGCAACAAAAACAGCAACAACAACAACAACACCGGAAGGCAGCAGGCTCAACAGCAACAAAAAACAACCGCGACAAACTACCGTTCAAGTTTTTACGCCATTGCCTGGTAGAAGCAAACTGCTGCGTTCAAAAAAGTTTTTATTTTATTTTTTTCTGTTGTGTTGTCGTGTGTGGAGTGTGGTGTGCCGCAGGGAACGTTTGGGTGGTCTGGGTGTCCGTGTCTTCTCCAGAGAAAACAAGTCCTATTTTTAATACCTGCAATATTGTTTTAATGCCAAATAAAAGAAATCCATAAACACACCGGCCGTTTTTGTCATTGATTTGAGCCTTCGGGCCTGTCCACGTGTTTCGGATCTGAGAGCTAGGTTTTCCGAATGCGAGGGGCGAGGTGGCCCTGACTTTGCCACCTGCGTTGTTTGGCATCGTCTGCTGTCGCAGGGAATCAGGGAATCAGGGCGGGGCGGGGTGGGGTGGGGTGGGGGGGGTGGGGGGGAGCGTTCGTTTGTTTTACGGATGTCTCCCTCCCGCTCCGAAAGCCCCTTCCACACGTCACACAGGCGAAGGCCGAGGGAGAAGATTTGAAAGACAACACCAAGGAAAGGCGGTGATCGAGGTAATCCTTCCACACTGGTAAAACTGGAAGCGTTGTTGGACGTTGTGGGTGGGACGCTTCATTCAAGAGTACAACTGCGCTTGAAGCCATGCGGACTTTCCCCATGAATTTGGATAGGAGGAAAGGAATGAGCTCTTTTCGCGCTTCAAGAGAGGAAATTGCTCGGACCGCGTTTCACTGACTTAATCCAGCACCGGACTGGCCAATAAAAACGTGTAGACGCTGAATTCGCCTCGCTGATCTAGATCTGTGGATCTAGGCCGCCCCAGCCATAACCGCCTCCGCCGAGTACCTGGAGGAGCAATGAATGATTCAGCGACCGCCCCACCGTGCCGGCGCACCGGCGGGCCGGGCAGCGGGGGCTGCGGGGGCTGCGGGGGCGTCCCCCTGCCCCTAACAGCGCCCCCTTGGGGCACCCTCCTGGGCGGCTGGGCCCTCTCGGGGCACACCTCTGGCGGCGCTGCGCGGGCCCCCCGGACCCTCCGGACCCTCCCTTTGACGCGGGAAGCTGTCCTCAGCGCGCAGCGTCAAGCCAGAAGAGCTGTCCCCGGTTGTCATGCCTGCCCTGCCTGCCAGGACGTGCGGCACGGCGGCCGCGACGCGCCGCGGTTGCGCGCGACATCCGTTTTGGTTTCAAAGCGCGTCGTCGCTCTGTCTCTGTCACACCTCTAGGGACGCCCCGTACGGCGGGAGAGACAGTGAGGATGGGACTGCAAGCAGACCGTCGTGCCGGAGTGGCGGTGCGTCGCGACGAGGATGGACAAGCGCGGCGTAATGACCAAAAGCCGGAAAAAGATTTGACATGTTAGGAGTCGAACGCCGAACCCTACAGATGGGAACCGACGCCTCTAAGCTCTCAGCAGATGGCGTTGCGGCGCCTCGCGACCTCGGCAGCGACTAGACAGAGAGGTGCCAAATTTAAGGACACGGGGCGCGTAATTGGCACGCCAATACACCTTGCAACCCTTCCTCAACCTCCTCAACCGCCCCGCCGCGCCCCGCCCCGCCCCACCGCGCCCCACGGCCCGCCCTTTCCTCCTGCAAGCTATCGATTGAGCCTAGCCCCACCACGCCCTGCGCCCGGCCACCCCGCCCCGCCCCGCCACCAGAGAGAGCCTAGACGTGTGCCGCGCTCCCCCGCCGCGCCGCGCCACCCCGTCCGGGCCATCCCCCGCCCCGCCCCGCCACGCTCCGCCACGCCCCGCCGCGGAGTGGAGCCTTAGCCCTGCTGCCCTGCGGAGTGGAGGGCTGCCTAGCGGAGCGGAGCGCGTGGAGCGGGCTAGCGGGCTAGCGGGCCCGAGTCCCAGTCACGCCGGGGCGCGCCGGGGCCCCCGCCCACCACCCGGACGCCACCCGGCCGGGTGGGACCGACCGGCACCCCACCCTGCCTCGCCCCGGCGCAGGCCCCAGCCCCGGCACACGGGGCGTACGGGCTGGAGTCCTACCCCTCCCCGCGCAGAGGGTGGCGCCCTCCCCCTCCCCTCCCCTCCGGCAGGGCGGCAGGGCGGCAGTGCCCCGGCAGGGGCGTCGCGACGGCCGCCTCTCTTCGAGCCGCGCTGCTCGCCAGTTAGTCGCGGGCCGAACGCTGTGGAGGGACGCCTCGCCGACGCCCGCCCCGCCGCCGCTCAGCGCCCGAGCGTCGCGACGCCTCGACTCGGGGCCGGGTAGCGCCGCGCCGCCGCACCGCCGCACCGCCGCCGCGCCCAAGTGATCGTGTCTCGTGTCCTCGGCACCGGCGTGTCTCGGCTCGGCTCCGCCTGCTCCGCCCGGTCGGCACGGCCCGGCTGCTCGGCTCGGCGCGAGACGTCCCGGCGCCGCGACGCCTCGCATTGATACGTCGCCCCGCCGCCCGGCGGTCCGCCGTCCCGTCCGCGGCCCGGTCCGCGCCGCGAGTGCAGGGCACGCAGGGCACGCAGAGCGGGCCCGTGAACGCGCGGGTGACGTCGCCTCCGTGACGTCGTCCGGGTGAGTGCTTCTCCGGCGGCTGGCCGGTGGTTGACACGAGAGCACGCCGACGTCCCTCCCACATCCCCACAGCCCCACAGCCACGGACAATATATCTCTTCGACCCGCCCCGCCACGCCCCTAGTCCCTCGCCCCCTCGACACTGCACGCCACGCCACGCCACGCCCCGCGGCCGCCTCGCGGTGGCCGCGACGGACACGTGGGGACACCGGCGTGCCGCCCGGCACCGCGACGTAGCCCCGCCAAGTCCGCGTCGCGGCCCGGCCACTCTCCGGCGCTGGCCTTGCCGAGGTGCCGGCTGCCGTGTGGAGTGTGGAGGGCCGCGGGGGGTGGCGGGGCGGGCGAGGGTGCGGGGGCGGCAGGCTTATCTGGGGTAATCGCTTTACATAGACGTTGCGCAGGTGGCCTTCCCCCGGCGGCTCGCACGGCCACTATGAAAGCTTGACGCTAAACAAACGGCCCAACGGCCCAGACGGTGCCGCTCCATTCCGCGGTTATGCGGCGCGGCTGACCGGCGAGACGCCCTCGGATGCGTCGCTGCCGGCGGCACTGCATCGCCCCCGATCGCCCGGCCCTTGGACCGGCCGGCCGGCAAGTGTTGCACACAAGTCGGCCGAAGAAAACTCCCACGACGCATCGGGGCCGAAAGGGCTGCCAAGCACAGCGTTCAGCACAGCTTGCTCACGAGCCAATACCTAGGCTGATTGCTCTCGAGAAGTTGGCTCGTGGGCATGCAGAGGGTGGCAACCCTTTCGATACTGATGCATCGTGGGCCTTTTCCCCTGCGTAAGAGGCAGCACTGCCATTAAATTTGAAAAACGAGATAATGGAATCTGGAACCTACCCAACCCTACACAACCCTCCACGCCACGCCGCCCTCATGCCACACGTTTGCTACTTGACGCGCCTCCCTGACCGCAGCTTCCCTGTTCGCAGCGTCCGCAGCCCTCCGCCCCCGCGGCCTGCTCGGCCTGCTCGTCGTCGCCGCGGTCGAGCCATGGGTGGCGGCAGCGGCGGCCGCGGGCGCAGCGTGCGGCGCTGGCCGTGCTAGCCGTCGCCGTCAACAGGTGCCGTGCCGGACTCCGCCATGGCGGCGGACGACGCCGTGAGCGTGAGCGGCCCCGCCGACAAGGGCCGCCCGTTCTCCGACCCGTCGCTGGAGCGGCTCTACCAGAGCTACTCCGTCAAGCAGAAGCGCGCGGGCGTGCAGTGCTTCCTGGCGGCCGCCGTGCTGTACGACGTGTTCGTGCTGGTGCTGCCGGGCCAGAGCGACCCGCTGACCCGCGGGCTGACGGCGGCCTTCCTGGGACTCAACCTGGCGCTGCTGGCATGGACGCTGCGGCCGTCGCGCCTGGAGGCCATGTGGGCCGCCGTGCCGTACGTGGCGTGGTTCCTAGCCATCACGCAGCTGCTGGCGCACCTCTTCCTGCGCAAGCACGAGGGCACGGGGCGCGACGCGCTGGGCTGGGCGCTGCTCCTGGACTACCTGCTGTACGTGACGCTGCCGCTGCGGCTGCGCTACTGCGTGCTGCTCTCCATCGCCACCTGCGGGCTGTACGTCGTCACCGTGTACGGGCTCGCCTACAAGAACGACGGCACGCTGGTCGCTCAGGTGAGTCCCGCTCGGGTTCGAATCCCCGAACCCCGCCGCGCTTTTCTTTCTAAATTGGTTAGCCGACGGCCTCTTGTCCCACCCGGTCCCACTCTCACCTGACCCTCCACCCATCGACTCTCCAGAGAGCCCCGCCCCACCTCGCCCGCGTCGCGCCGGCTTGACAGTGTGCTGTCGCTGCGCGCCGCGCCGAAAAAGTGTGCTGCGGTGCGGAGGGCCCCTTTGTTCGGCGGCACAAAAGCAGCGGGAAACTTTGAATGAAAAAGACTTAACGCCTCGACACTGTAGGAAGGCCCCGTGCCGCAACCCGCACGGCTCGCAGAGGTCAGGGAACGGCCGAGCTTGACCAGCACGCAGCCCTGCGTGCCGACATTCTCACAATTATGACGACAAAATTTTTTTTTTCGAAACGACAACAGCGGACATTCTTTTGGGAAGAAAATGCGATTTTGGTGACTGTACAGCACTGAGCCATGGCGTAGCCACCAGCCGGTAGTAACTTCTGCGGTTTGGGTGTTTGCCGCGAGTCCCGAAGGAAGCCTTCAGTGATCGGCAACTGGGGCCATTCCCGACTGTTCGCCGCGGCCCGGAGTTTCTTTGTACAGCACACCCGTTTTGTCCGTTTTGTCGCAAGTTTGGGCGAGTTCGAAAGGCAGGGCTCCGGCCGGCGAGACAATAAGTCTAGAGTCGAAAAGTCGTTATTGGCTGTCCAATCATTTACTTTGCGTCCCCATTTTGTAAAATCACTGTTTTTCTTCCGTTATCTTATGAAGTGAAGAGTCCCTTTAGCACGGTCTCGAGCCAAAATATGCAATATTCAAGACGACCGCTATACTGGCCCTGGCCGCCCAGAGGCAAGCAGGCTGGCTTGACCACAACGCTGCTTTGGTGTTGCCACGCCAATAAAACCACAGGCCGAGGCACGTGCGTACACACAGGCTCTCACTGCCGTGTGCTGCGTCGTGCTGGGTACCCTCGCTTCGGATCGGACAATGGTCTCTAACTCCTTCTCCTGCTATTGCGGAAACTTTTCGCCGCCGGTTACCTGTTTCTGCTTCCATTGGAACAGTATGTGAAAATAGTGTCCGGCCGGGGCCGCCCTCGGCTTACTGATCTGGTTAGGTTGGGTCAGTTTGGATCAGGCTAGGTTAGGTAATGAAAGAGAGGTATTCTAGACTCGGAGTGATGCAGCTTTGCGTTTGGCAGCAGTGTGGCTGCGGTGCGCGGGAGTGAAATGGGCGCGAAACCGTTTAGAAACCTGTCGACACATCTCCCTCAGCGAGTCAAGCGCGCCGGCCGGTCGGCGCCGGGCCGGTCGGCCGCAGTGGTGTGGCATCACTGGCACACTGGCAGCCCCGCGTGGCCTAGAGGCCTGGCGCTCCCCTCCCCTCCTCTCGGCATTGCATTGGATTCAGTGTCCGAGCGCGGCCTGCCTGCCCGGCTTGCCCGGCTTGCCCGGCCCGCCGCAAGCTGACAGCTTCGCATCACCAGGGGCCTAAGCAGTGCTGCCAACACCCTCGCCAAACACCGCACTCATTCTCTACCATTCCCGCGACAAAGCGGCGTGCAAAAAAATAACCCTTTTCTAAAAAAAAATCATTTGGAAGGTTTTCCTTTGGGGGGATAGTCACCTGCAGCTTTCGAATAGCAACTCCAGAGCCTGAAAAAATGTACCAAAGTCCTATGGGGCTGGTTGGGAACATCCTGCAGCTAATTATTTCGGACGGTGTGAAGACGGCGCTGAGGGTGCCGAGGGTCTTGGAGGAGGCTAGAAAGAGCAAGACGAGCTCTGCGACGACGGGGGAAGCGCCAAGCTGCGAGGTGGGGGACGCTCTCCCCCCCTCCCCTCCATCCGGCGACGCTTCCTTCCGTTATCGGTTATTCAGCAGCATCTCTCCTCGCGTGGCGGCAGGGATTGCAGAGTCTGTGAGTGCGAGAGAGACGGCGGCGGGGTGGAGGCAACGTCTGAGACGGCCGTGGCCACGCCGTGCCCGTGCCGCCGTGCCCGGAGGAGGAGGAGAAGGGTCAGAGCTGAAAGCATTCCTCCAGCCCGGGCATGAATGTATGGAGGCTGTGCGGTGAGGCGGCCGAGGCGGGTGAAGTGGGTGAAGCGGGTGGTGGAGTTGGGGAAGTGGGTTAAGCGACTTACCGGGCGAAGCGGCTGAAGCGGGTGAAGCGCAGCAGCCGACGGGTGCCGGGCGGAGCTGATTGGGTTTGTGTGGCGCAGCTGCAGAAACCCCGCTGCCGGGCGGGCGATTCGGAACAGAGCTTCGTCGCTCTGCTCTCTCTCTCTCTCTCTCTCTCTCTCTCTCTCTCTCTCTCTCTCTCTCTCTCTCTCTCTCGCACCCCGACAGGAGGCCCCGGTGAGTGCGACAGAGACAGGACGACGAAACTAATTTTTCGGAACCGCCCGGCCCGGCAGGTGGCAAGCGTGCTCCGGGCCTTGCCGCCTCTTTATTCGCAGAGAGGCGCCGTGAGGCCCGCCTCGGCAACGTGATGCGATTGATGGTACACTGCAGACTGATTCCGAGAGTCGTCGCTCCGTCTCTCTCGCACTCACGCCGTTGTAGGCGCGAGAGAGACAGCGACGACTCTCGGAATCAGTCTGCCGCTAGAGGCGCTAGAGGCGGCAGAGACGCGCGCGGGAGAGCGGAGAGGCGCGCCACTGCGAATACATTAGCCGGCGAGGCGCGATTGAAACATTTTCGGAATGTGCAGGCGGCGGCAGGCAGGCCGCCCGTCTTGCCGACGCTCGCCGGTCGCTCCGTGGAGGCAGCGGGCAGGCTGGTGGGGAAATAATTCAGGGGATGGATTTGGCGGGAAAAGCGGGAAGCCTCCGGGAAACGTGAATAGTGGTAGCAGCGGCAGCCTTTGAATAAGAACTGGCCGTCGGGACGCTCTGAAGCCTGCTGCAGCCGTGCTGGTCTTCTGGTCTGATGGCCAGGGTTAGGTTAGGTTAGGGCTGGCCAGGGCAGACAGGCAGAAAAATCTGCCGGGGCCTTTGGGTTTGGGACCAGTCACGTCACAAAGTTGGTCAAAGAGTGACTGAATCTCCGAAAGTAGCCGTTTTCGCTGATTTTGGGCGGCCACTGCGTCCGATCTAGTCGTCGTAAAAGGCCTCCCTCGACGTCCTAGTATTCTTAAGACCCTACTCTTTCATGCCCTGTATCGGGAAGACGTTGACCACAACGATTTTGGCTTTGACCGCAACGATTTACCGACCAAGTTGGTCAAAAAGTGGCCGAATCTCGGAAATTTGCTGATTTTGCTGACTTTGGGTGGCCACTGTGTCCCATCTAGTCGTCGTAAAAGGCCTCCCTCGACGTCCTAGTATTCTTAAGACCCTACTCTTTCATGCCCTGTATCGGGAAGACGTTGACCACAACGATTTTGGCTTTGACCGCAACGATTTTCCGACCAAGTTGGTCAAAAAGTGGCCGAATCTCGGAAATTTGCTGATTTTTCTGACTTTGGGCGGCCACTATGTCCAATTTAGCTGCCGTAAAAGGCTCCCTCGACGTCCTAGTATTCTTAAGACCCTACTCTTTCATGCCCTGTGTCGGGAAGGCGATTGACCCAACATTTGGGTTGAGATAGTTCAGCAAGTTGGTCAGGCCTTGAAGGGTAAAAACACAATGACGATCGGGGGCCTTTTGCGGTCTTATCCGCTGGGGCCTTTTGGGGGCCAGTCCGAGCCTGGGTTCGAGTCTCGACGGGGGTCTTTTCACTACTGCCACGCGAAGGCCTGCTCGATGTTTACATTGCGGCAAGCTGCACGCGCCGGCCGAACACCGAATCGCGTCGCTGTGACTCAATCTCGAAGTCTCATCGCCGCATTGCCGCGTTCAAGACAGGTAGCTTATCGCTGTCTCGAGAGGCTCCGACCGAAGGCCCGAGCGAGCCAAGCCGAGCCGATCCGAAGAGGAGCCGAGCGGATAAGGACCGCGTGTAGCTCCCGACTGTACTGCCGGCTGTGCGGACGGCCGACTCGCTCGCGGCCTCGCCGTTCACAGAGGTCCAAAGGGACAATGCGGGCCGAAACTTGAAAACTCGAATCCCCGACCCCAACTTGGGACGATCCAGCCGGCGGGCTGGCCGGCCGGGCAGGCAGCGCGTGTGTACGTGATTTTATGTCCGCTTTATGCCCAGCAAAACGCTCCGTGGTTTATGGGGCTCGAACTACTGGGCAGAAGGGGGAGGCAAGCGCGCGAGCTGCTGCCCCTGAAAACAGCCAGCCCTGCCTCGAGTTACACCGACGCAAATTTTCTCCGTTTAAACTTCTCACGCCCACTTGCACACCGAATTACGTCAAATTCACTCTCGCCGCCGTCGTGGCCGTCCTGGCGCGAAGGCCCTCCCGCGCGGCACGGCGATGGGCCGCTTGATGAGCCGGCCCGAGATTCGCGCGCAGAAAAAAATGAAAAAACATAAAAAAAGGAAAACTTTGTTCCCGCCGCTGGTTTTGCTTGAGGAAACAAGGCGGCGGCTTAATAACCCCCCTTCCCTTTCCACGGCCCTCTGGTTCCGACCTGCCGTCCGTAATTGAGAACAAAGACAAGTGCGCTTCCTTTGCCGCTCAAGGCGCTTCCAGGGACGTTCAAACGCTTCGGGAGGCCCTTGCTCGGACTGACCAAACTCGAGGCACGCACACACAGACACATGGCCAGGGCGCGCCTATCTGCTGCCCGGCATTCAGCGCTCCGGCGGCGTTCTCGAGAACTAGTGGCACTATCAGAGCAGAAAAGAAACGGACGCGGACCGCCCACCCGGTTAGCATCGGGTGTCTCTCTCGCGCGGGGTAGCGACGGCCACTCTCTTTCTCCACGGACAGCTCGAGTTCCTCTGGACGTCTCCCACGGACCCAACAGGGCAGCAAGGCCTTGACCCACATAACACGCACACGGCAATACGGCCCGGGGGAGGGGGCGGGGGTCCCTGCGGGGGGTATATTTCTGTAGCGGCCGTACCAAAACGCACTGGGCCAGAAGGGCGGCAGTGGG